TTAGCATGCATATAAAGAGTTCATAAGGAAGAATATTTCCTTAACAGTCATAATAAAGTTTAATATGATTTTTCAACTCGTATAAAATATATTTTTATTCAATATTTGTCTATTTTAATAAGTAGATTCCAAATTAATAATCATATCAAGACTTTTATTTATCAGTTGGATTTTTTTTTATTCTCTTAAAAATCGAATATGTTTGTTTGAGTTTAATTCTGAAGAAAAAAACAAGAATTGAATCGCAACAAAAGAATGAAATAATCTTATATTCTTCGCTGAAGATAGTCTTCATTATGATGATTTTTTAATAGAATTTTAGTTCCTTAATTAAAAGTCCAAAGACAACAAATAAATCGATGAAATTACAATTGACGTCAATCATTTATTAACTTTAAACAACTAAACTAATGAATAGATATTGTTCTTCACTCTCTTTATCTTAATCCTTTCTTGCCCTATGGTGTTTATAAATATCATTTTATAAAAAATTGATTCTTTTAAACAATGAGACATTTAGGAAAGGATTCCATATCAACTTAAAGTCTGTATATTTTGTACCTCAAATCAACAGTTTGAAACTATTCTTTACCATAAAAATAATACTTTTGATGTTCTATGAATACATAATGTTATGGCACACACCATAATTCATAAGAGAGGGTGGGTGTGGATGTACTCTGTTTTAGATCCACACACAAACTGCCCACACTCACACCCTCTCGTAGTTTCCAGAACGGATTACTTGTTTTGGTAAATTACCGTATTTTTAAGCATTATTCCACTACAACAACATCGTGTGACTGAGGATGTGGGTGTGAGTATCATGAATGTGTTGCTCGTTCAAAGCAGCAAATATACTGACACCCACACCCACTAAAGAATATATACAGCACAACGATATTGGTCTGTCACCCAACACTTCGTTCGTTATCTTATAAAAGAGAAAACGTATTTGTCACCCTGAGTCATCTACTACCCAAACTATTTTGTCGTTCGATTAACAGAGATGCAATCATTTGTACAAACAAGCGACTTGTCTTTCTTCCTCTTAGTCTGATTCATGAGTAGAAGTTTCATATTTTTTGTTTTCATACGCTATACAATGTCATGAGGCAAAGGTTATCTAATGGATTGATTTTCACCTATGTATGTATGAGTCTAAGCTACATTATTATATTTGACACATCATGAGGGAAGCAATATGCTGGTTCTTCCCCAATCAAGTGCCAATGATAAGTGACTTCAACACAAAATTCGACTTTTTCCTCCGATCAGATTACATTGCACACAAATTCGTAGATTTATGATAAACAAAGTACTATATAAGAGAGCTGATTTTTTTCAATATACGTATAGTAACAAGTAAAGAACAGACAGTCTATACTTGGTACTTGACTGACCACTATACGGTTAATGGTAAGGTTTTTCTCCGATCTCAAGTCATAGACTACAAATGAAAGAACACCCTCACACATACCCACCCACATCCGGTTTGGTCGATATCATCAGGACAGTGAGTAAGTAAGACACGTACGACAGCGTCATATCCATGTAAACTTGCCAGCATCAGCAGACTAAGATACTCATTGTTTAATCGATTCACCAGAGCAAAAACATGGAACATACGGGATCTCTCGTGTAAATACTTATTGAGTTCGATCGATTCATCATGATAAACTAGTTCGTATAGGTGTTGTTGTTGTATGACCGAAAAATCTTCTTTTACCACCAACGAATAGCTCCTTCTTTGCATGTGCATCGTTATGTATCAGAATAATTTCGATAGTGAGTAGTAATGAGTTTTTTCCGACGTATGGTAGTAAACTGACGTCATGTAACATGTTGCATGGACGATGAGTCAGAAGTTTTAGAGGTAAAAGAACGGTAAAAGCCAGCTATTGTCAAATAAGCAAAGTGCCATTAAGCTTCCTCTCCTGCCCCCATTAAAAATCTAACTTCGACAGAATACATGAGATATTGATGGAACTTTGCATAGGTGTTCGGTTCATAGAAGTACGAGGGTGTTTTGGTGTAGATATGCGTTAGAATGCGTGCGTTTGAGAGCCTCACACGCATTCATTACTCATTGGCGTCCACATGAACACCCAAAAAACATAATGTTTATTAATGGATTAGTCTCATTGAAGATAGATACGAGAACAAATGTGAGCTCTTCTCATCGATTAGAAAGTATTATTTTTTATTTAAGAGATTCATTGTTGGTTACGAACAATATAGAAAATATTAACAGAAAGTCAATATGTTTCAGCTCTACGGACTACTCAATGTGTTTCACATACATTGAACACATGACCAATTGGAATAGAATAATGCATCACAGGGTGTGGGTGTGAGTCTTCTCTTCACTCCCACCCACCCTACTTCTCGTGAAAAACTTTGAAAATCCCCAAAAAAATACATCTTGAACACAACTTCTATGAGACAGGTTGATTCACTTGAATGAAAATGTGTATATCGTAAGATTGATTTCCTTGCAAGTATAATGCTGTTTAAGTTTTGATGTCAAAAGCTTTCGATAGAAACGATACTGATGATTATTAAGTGAAGAACAAAGAAATTTTCTTTATGAGACACGGATGTCTCTTCCAGCCGGGCCTACAAAACTTCCATGAACAGTTTTTGCATGCCAAGGTCCAACTTCTGCTCGTGCCATTTCCGTCATGTTCTTCGCATCGAGAATCACCAACACGCATGTCTCCTGGTCATCATGACGAATTTCATTGACCATGGTGAGAATGATACCGTCATCTTCTTCTATACCTGAAGGATTCGATAAAAAAGATGGTTTTGAAACATGACGCTGATGAAGGATTAAACGGACGAGTATTGGGACCTGAGCTCTGCCCTTTGTCGCCTAGGTCACTAGATCCGGCCTGTTCAAGAGTGGAAGCAGAACTTGTAGCAGGAGAACTGAAATCCATTTTTTGCACGGCACTTAGAATCAAAACACCGGCATTTTTGTGTGTCGATTCATATCGATTTCGACAAGTACCGTACAAATAGCGATAAGACTTGCAATGTCGTCGAGGATCGAAATGCGATAAGTCAATATCCAGACCTAGCATTTCATAAATTGCACGCCGTGGTGTATTTAAGGGTGTGGATGTGGGTGTGGGATGTGAGCACGGTGTAGTCATTCTTTTTATTGCCCATAAACCCACACTCACACTCTCTAAAAAAAGGTGTCACATTGAACCTTTTAAGATTTTAGCGAAGACCCTGAACTTTTTAAGGTTCTATCTTTGCGTGCCATTTTCTGAACCCTTTTGTTAGTACTAGCCAGCAAGTATAGAACTGGAAAAAGTTCCAAACTTTCTGGCTAGACCTTTTCCAATTCTAGCGAACATGTCTAGAACTAAAAAAAGGTCCAGAAAATGGTACCGAAAAAGGTTCATTATGACACCGTTTGTTTTAGAGAGTACTCGTTTTCCCTCTTTGACAAGAAACGAAACAGCAATTATATCGTTGTGCGCAGGTGTTATTCTGTGAGGAAAGTGAGTGCACGCGATTGCTTACAGTAATAATCTTCGGATTAATACGCTTTTTTGCGTATTAAAAACGCGTCTGATTAATTAGCCATACACTAGAAGATATACCAACACTTAAACGCAGCTGCGCAAATAATCGTACTATCGCACCGAAATAGGCAACAAACAGCACCAAAAGCTCGATATAGTAATTCAAAGCAGTCTAAAAAGCAGGTGAGTGATATTTTCCTCAAGGAGCAAACGTCTCTCTTTTCGAGCTAAAAAGTTTCCCTTTTTCATTTTTGTCTTTTTCCAAGTATTCTATTACCTAAAGTACCCGATAACTTGAAGCCATATAGGTGAATTGCATAGTTGTTGCACCGTTGTTGTTAGAGATGTGTTTATGGAATATCAGCTGTCTCTTTCAACTGATTTAGGTGAAAATTTTTTCCATATACTAGTCTGATTTGTTCCTGTTGCTGCTGGAAAAAACAGTTCTCCATCGGCTTGGTTTCGAAAGATGTAATATTTGCAAATCCAAAAAGTCGAGAACTGACGGCACCTATGCGTGAAAACATCCATTCGTCTTTTAAGACCTCCCCTCAAAAAAAGTCACTTTTCGTCAGAATGGTCAAAATTAAGATAAATGCATAGGAAGATTGCCCGTCACTTGATCTTTCATACATGACAAAAATTTTCACTCGTCACCTCGTTTTTTCCGAAGAGT